TTCTCTATGCTCCTTTGTATTACGCGAGAGCTCGTCGGTATACATATGCCGTATGAATAATGTACCCTCCTTTTGTTTACGCGAATATCGCTGTCGAGTGACGCGAAAAGTGCAAAGAAGAGGCCGCGTGGACATAGAGTGAAGTTTTATTTCTCTTCCTCTCTCAGCACCCCTGAATATCCGAAAATCTTTAAATCGTCACGAAGATGGTGCGTTTAATGATAATATGGGCTGATATTCATCACGTTTTATGCCTTTTTTTGTTCCTTGGGACTACATTTGGCCTGCATGAAACGGCACCGAATATAATCGTCTTGATGGCTGATGATCTGGTAAGACATTGATAAAAATGAAGATACCGATGTTTCACTTGACAATTCTTTTATAAAGATATTAAGATAAATAAATTAATATTTTTTTTAACTAATCCTCTCTCTCTCTTTTTCTCTAATTTTTGAGATTAGCATTTATTAAATTCTTTTCTGTTCTTTTCTATCCGTACTTTGTCTTTTCACAAACAGTTTAAAATTTATTAAAGAGGCGAAGAGATTAGAAATATCATACCTATTCTTAACAAAAATGTAGATATTTAAATGTACTCTACAGGCATTTGCAGGAGTTTTGTAGGATTTACATATTATATGAAAGTAGAAAGAAACAGAAGGAAAAGGAAAATTTTTGAAAAATATATGGAGATTAATGTCTGCGAAAACAAATTCTTTTTTTAATACATTTTGATTCATCTGTTTTATAGAATACTTGAAACATTTGCAGATGTTCGAAATTATTTTTTATTTGTATGTAATGGTTTGCATAAACTTTCATTTACTACTTGCGTTACTCGCGCTTGCCTGACGTACTCAATTCAGCACGATTAATTTACATAAAAGTATCCCGGATTAAAATTATCCTTAGTTTAGGTAATTATCGTAGCTTACGTATTTTATCTACGCCTCCGCAATCAACAAGTACGCACGTCGTAAACTGTGACTCATTCCGACTACACGACAGAATGCTAATTCCTGCACACGCCTATTACGACTTAATTCGATCACGTAATTTTGATATGCTGGATTTCCGGTGCGAGAAAAATATTTTATACGTACACATGTAAATATATAGCGCTTATTGTCAGACGCTCCTCTTATAATTATCTGTTAATTACCGAATTATTAATACTTTGCAGTGATTATTAATTAATTTTCATTATATATACTTCTCTTATATATTATACGTGCTGACAGACAATAACGCTCGAAATTTTCAGGGGTGGAACGACGTCGGTTTCCACGGCTCTAATCAGATACCTACCCCGAACATAGACGCCCTAGCGTATAACGGAATTATATTAAATAGACATTACGTCTTGCCGTCTAGCACACCTTCCAGAACCGCGTTTTTCACCGGAAAGTATCCGATGCGTATGGGTATGTATTATTCATTGCTTTATACACAATAAACTTTCTTTACATACGTTACAAAGTTTTTTTTCGAAAAAACAGATTCCAGCGCCAGCTTTTTTCCTCTACTTTTTTTAATCGAAGAGGTCAGATTTTATTTGTTTTTTTTTTATACCGCAAAGTTTTACGACATTTACGATGTGTCTGCGTCTGAGCGACAAAAAGACATACGCGAATAACGCAACAATTTAACGCGCATTTAAGGAGATGATAATGAGGCAATGCGCACGATGACGTGCATTAATGCAGCATCCGAAATACTCTTGTATACAGCCTGTGTGTTGTTTGGTACAGGTATGCAGGGGGAGGATATACAGGGTGGCGAACCAAGAGGACTACCCCTCAGCGTGAGGATCTTACCGGAACACTTGCGGGGACTAGGGTACACGACAAAGCTGATCGGGAAGTGGCATTTGGGGTACCACACGCCTCAGCACACGCCCTTGCACCGTGGCTTTGATTCCTTTCTTGGCTTTTACAATAGTCATGTTTCGTATTATGACTACAAGTACTCATATCAGGTACATATCTCGATCGAGATCGTAAAAATCAAAACGGATGTCTTTTTTTTTCTAAAGTCTTGTCTCTTTCGCATGTTTTATTAACGATCTAGTTTTTTACATAAAAATTGCAATAAAAATTACTTAAAATAAGATGAATAAAAAAATCATTATTGTCGACAATTAGTCTCAGAAGCTAAACTGATTAACTCTATTTTTTATAAATTTCTCAATTTTTGTACCAGAGCGCATGATTAATAGTTTACAACTTTGTCAATATTCTCTACTTTTTAATGTATTTAATTAGCCTGGCTTTTGAGAAGGCTCACACACTGATTCTCTCTGTCTTTTTATTCATCTTCTCTATAAACTGTATATCTAAGTAATTTTTATTATATTTTCTATGCAAGACTTAATTTTTATTATACATCATTGCTGTTATTTTGTTGTTTTCTTTACATGTGTATCAGAATATGAGCGGGTATGATATGCATCGTGGCGATGCTCCGGCTTACGGCTTAACCGACAAGTATGTGACGGACCTTTTCACCGATGAGGCAGTTAGGATTATCCAGGGTCACGACCCGTCTCGGCCGCTCTATCTCCAAATATCGCATCTCGCTGTTCACGCGCCTCTCGAGAACCCGCAAGATTACGATCACTACGACAAGCGGTTCATGCAGATCCGGGAACAAAATCGTCGCAAGTATGCCAGTGAGTACAAATAATGTGGATTATGTCGACGGCAAAAGTCGGTGGTTGTTTAACGTTGATCAATATAATTCCAATTTACAAATGAAATAAGTACCAAATATTATAATTTAGTTTAATCGTGTACGAGAATTTACGTAAGATATTTGTAAAGACTGCTTTATTCTCCCTTCAATGTCTTGTCGTTAATTTCGTTAGGGATGGTATCGAAATTAGACGATTCCGTTGGGCGCATCGTGCATACTTTGGGTAACCGGGGGATGTTAAGGAATTCGGTGGTCCTCTTCCTCACTGACAACGGTGCGGCGCCTATTGGCAAATTTCGCAATTTCGGCTCTAATTATCCCTTACGTGGTGTAAGTATTTTCAAGTCACATACCGACTCAGATGTCAAATTGATGAAAGTCTGGACGTATACATATTCAGTCGCTATCAATTTTCGACGGTGATAATTTAAGAAAAAAAGTAAAATTATTTACACAAACAAATATTATTATACATATATTACTGATATATTATGAAAATACCAGCGTTTTACCTAATCTATTCGAAAATTTCCCGGAGATACGCGCGAGCTTATGAGCCGCTTTGATGTTTTAAGAGACACGGCGGTATATAAGAGCGTGATTTATGATGGCAGATGAAATACACCCTTTACGAGGGTGGGGTGAGAGGAGTTGCCGTGCTGTGGTCACCAAAATTGCGTAAAGCAGCACGTGTGTGCGATGACCTGGTGCACATATCCGACTGGCTGCCAACCCTCTATGCCGCCGCTGCTGGCGATCTGACGGATTTGGGGGAGATCGACGGGGTGAATCAGTGGCGCATGTTGAACGACGGTTATCCGATAGTCAGGGACAAGCTGTTGCTGAACATCGACGAGATTTCCAAGACCGAGGGTGCCATATATAAGCAGTACAAGCTTCTTCGAGGTATTCCGTTATCGTGATTGGGCAGAATAATAATTAAATTTTCGCGTGACGACGCGTAGAGACTTCTGAATAAATACTTCTTTTAGCGGAAACTTCAAAAATAAAACTTGTAATCGTAAAATACATAAATATTAAATAAATATTAACAAGATTTAATAGTAACCAGATTTCAAACTTTACGTAAAAATTTTTCAACAGTCAGTCGCAAAACTCGTAGATTTCCAGATTCATAACATTTTAATTTAAAAAATGGGAAAGATATTTTCAGTATTTAGCTCATTTATTGTTTGTAAATGCCATTCATTAACGATCACGAAAAATTACGTCTCAGGATCGATGGAAGGTGGCCACTACGATGGATATTACCCTGACTACGAAAGAAATTATTTACCTACATATTTCAACGATTCGAAGAAAACAGCACAGGAGGAACTGCCACCCTACACCGAGACCATCCTGAAGAGCGCAGTGTCGCAGAGCATCACCTATCATCTGGGCGGTCCGGTCACTCAGCCCAGCACGATGATTCAGTTACGACACGAAGCCATGGTCCATTGTCGATCCAATTCCACTTTATACAGAGACAATTTTTTCACTTGCAACGTGACGGAGTGCCTCTTCGATATCGAGAACGATCCTTGCGAAACGAAGAACATCGTCGAGCAATATCCGAGGGTGAGGAAACGTTCAACATTAAATCTGATGGCGCTAGCTGGAACTAAATTAAAACGGAAGTCTTAAAAGCACGAATGTGTAATCAGCGAGCATGTATCTTTTAAGTTTTAATCTCGCAAACATAAAAGGCTTATATTATGCATCGTTATTGTTGAAAGAGATCTACAGCAGCTTGCTATAGTTCAAGGTTCAGAGCATGTCATATCGGTCATTTCTCTCAACAGGTCGCTCGCGAGCTGGATCAATTTCTGGAGCAGTACGGACGCAATGTCACGATACAAGTCAAGCCGCCGGTGGACTGGCTCGCTGATCCAAGAAGGACGAACAACACGTGGGAGCCATGGATACCATCGAGCGATTCGTTTTATCCGTACAACGCGGCGGCTAAGTTGGTCGGTTTGGCATATTATCTTCACATCGGGGTCGTCCTCGTAGCGGTCGTGTGTAAAACTTTTGTTTGAACAATTATCCCGGTCGAAACGCAAACGTGTATAATACGTAATGAAATCCCATAAGTCCGTCTAGATTCTAGATTAAGGCCCACTGTCCACGGAGCGTCGATGC